TGCAGCCTTCAAGATAAAAGATCTTGGAGACTTAAGGTACTTTCTTGGAATTGAGTTCAGCAGGTCGAGGAGAGGAATCTTAATGAATCAACGAAAGTATGCATTGGAACTCATTAGAGATTTAGGACTAAGTGCATCCAAACCATCCTACATTCCACTGGAGTACAATCAAAATCTTACTGATAAAAGGTTAGATGAGATTACAGGAGCTGAAGGTGATGACCTCTTAGAAGACAAGGGAAAATATCAGAGACTCATTGGTAAATTGCTCTATCTAACTCTGGCCAGATTAGATAGAGCATTTGCAGTCCAAACATTGAGCCAGTCATGCAACAACCTAAAAGAAGTCATTGGGAAGCTGCACTAAGGATAGTGAGATATATCAAAAAGGATCCAGGATTGGGCATTTTGATGAGTTGTGAGAAAACCAATGTGCTAACAGCTTATTGTGATGCAGACTGGGCATCATGTCCCAACACAAGGAAATCAGTGACTGGATTTCTGATTAAGCATGGAAATTCACTCATATCATGGAAGTCAAAGAAGCAGTTTACAATCTCTAGCTCAGCTGAAGCAGAGTATAGAAGCATGGCGTGGACAGTTGTTGAACTAGTTTGGTTGGCAGGGTTATTCAAGGAACTTGGAACAGAGGTGAAATTGCCAATCAACCTATTCTGTGATAGCAAAGCAGCACTACAAATTGCAGCCAATCCAGTATATCATGAAAGAACTAAGCATATAGAAATAGATTGTCACTTTATAAGAGAGAAAATTCAGCAAGGATTGATCAAAACGCAGTATGTGAATTCTAAGGATCAGCAGGCAGACATTCTGACCAGAGCACTTTTGAGATCACAGCATGAGTACCTACATTTTCTTCCCTGTAATTTTGTTCTTCTCACCGACATTTTCTTCATCAGTATAAGTCTAGGGCTTAATTCATAGAAATTAATATGTTTAATTGTTCTAACAGCTACAGCCCATAATCTCACTAACCTTAAAGCTATGCATCCAGTCCTGTCTCGCTTTTGCCCGTTAGTTTGGACAACCTGGCTCCTAGCACCTCATCATTCCTTGATCTGGGCTCAAGAACTTAATCAATAATGGATTTGATCAAATGGTGATCAAATCCAATGGGCCAAGATAGGATGGAACTTCGGATCCTCATGAGCATATTACCACTTATACAACGGCGGAAAAAGGAAATGATTTAGTGCTTGACGAAATTGAATTTGTGTTGCTAAAGAAATTCGGGGAAACTCTCACGAGAAGAGCTCTGACGTGGTATTCATTATTACCCGAGCATTCCATAGATTCCTTTGAAATGCTCGCGGATTCCTTCACCAAGTCCCATGCCAGGGACAGAAAAGTGCAAGCCTCCGATAGTTGCAATATTTTTCGATCTCGATTATTTTCTTGATGCAATTTTATTGTCTACAAAGTGTTACTTTATTATTCGTATAAATCAACTAATATTCTTTCTACTAATTTATAGATGAAAAGACTCATAATTTTGAATCAGACAAAAGGCATATGTACAATGATTATATTTATTAACTAAATTTTCTAATATCAATTCTATTAAGTATCTCTATCACCATTAATTATTTCTTCTTTGCATGTGTATACGACGAAATTGACAATTAGTTACTGGCCATTCTAGGGAAGATATATGTTAATTAAATTACTGTATAACTTTTGGTACTAATCTACTTCTGTAGAAAAAAGAGGTTACAGTTTCTTAAAAATAAGGCTGAAACTTTTAGACGTAAGTTACAAAAATATACGACGTTAATCATATTCACATGTTCACTAAATGATGTTGAAATATAAAAGAATAAGAAAATTATCAAGCTAATTAATATTCAATATGTTAGGAAATTCTTAATATATAGTAACTCATAATGATAAATTAACAATTGAATTTTAACCAAGAACAACGTGTATAAAGAAATATTAGGTGAGACACGATCATATTATATGTGTCTACCAAATAAATATTAAAATTAATTTCACTAACTCTAATATATTGTTTAATCGAGTAGGAGTAATATTTATGTAATTTTTAATGATGTACTACTAATATGGGTACACGTGTAAAAAAATATATCCAAAACTAATTAATTTAAAAGAATTATTACACAAAAATATAAAAATAAGTGAACATACGTAATATCATAAACCATAAGAGTTATCAGTATTATGAAGCCGAATCCGACTATAAGGGAACGTCTTTCAAATTACTCCCAAAGAAAAAGCCAAATTTAAGGGAACGTTGGAAAAAATTGCATACCTTTGAGCGCCGCTGCACTCCTGTTGGACTCCAGCAAGATCCAAATTTATCAGTTTTAGAAAGCTAATGCAGGTCCTATGTACAGTACACTCCCATTAATAAACTGATTTAATATTTTACTGGAGATCGATGTGGGACAAAGTCGCTGAGGGCTAAAATCGCCATTGTGTTACTTGGATTCGGTGAGAAAACCATTAAATTAAACAGCACGCGATAAGAATGATCACGTCTTTCTTAACTGTTCTGAGCTCCTCAGTAATCCCCTATGGACTTTCAGATCAGTGGAAATAATGAAACACGCTCATGAATTCCTCAGTTTCTCAAAAAATCTATTAACAGATAAAACTACTCAATTTACTCTAAACTTCCTAAACTTAAGAATTATAATGTAAAATACCATGTGATGTTGAATGATATACAGTAAGGACCACTAATTTTCAGACATTAAACGCACTCTGAATAAACCAAATGGGTCTGTTTGTGATATTTTGTTAGGCACTCTTAATTTTCGCACCATTGTGTAAAGTACAATATACTATTATAACGAAATATATTCCAGTTTGTGTGAGCCTATTTCCTTTTTGGTCCGTTCTAAAAATAATGACCCATTTCTAAATTTGGTAACAATTTAGTTTAAACTTAGGATTCTACCCTTAATAAGAAGCTTTTATAACCACACAAATACTCTGGGCCCCTTTTAGACTTGTTTAGGACCACAAATTCTAAAAGTCTTTATTTTTTCTTAAACTTCGTGCCTAGTCAAACATGTTCACATAAATTGGAGTACTAGTATCTGCATCTTCAAAATGTCTAACCTTGTAAAAGTCCTAGCTATACCCTAAACTATTTACCGCCAAATATCTTTTTTTCTCAAACACACACACACACACAT